GAGAAGCGGCTGTGCAAGATGTTCTACGCCGTCACGCTGCTCTTCCTGCTCCTCTGGGGGCCCTACGTCGTGGCCAGTTACCTGCGGGTCTTGGTGCGGCCGGGCGCGGTCCCGCAGGCCTACCTGACGGCCTCCGTGTGGCTGACCTTTGCGCAGGCCGGCATCAACCCGGTCGTGTGCTTCCTCTTCAACCGGGAGCTCAGGGACTGCTTCAGGGCCCAGTTCCCCTGCTGCCAGAGCCCCCAGGCCACCCAGGCCACCCTCCCCTGCGACCTGAAAGGCATTGGTTTATGAGAGAGTCCCCGGCCACTCACACCCCGACCCAGCCATGCCTCTCTGCCCCCTTTTTAATTTTCTAAGCTGCCTTCAAAGTAACTGCCCCGTGGACGCACACTCGGATTGTAGGAGGGACTCGCCTGGGTGGGGGAGGGGAGGGCTCTCTGCCGTCCTGGCCCCCCTCCCCCAGCTCTGGTGATTCTCCTTCGGTCAGTGTGTTTTCATCCTGAAATACAGGCCCTGCAGGCCGTCCTTTTGTACTTGTACTGATGATGTCTTTTATTCCATGTGTTTCTTTTTATTAAAATAAATATCTATCGATCGATCTATCTATAAAGGCTAAACTAATTTTCTTCATGCAACGTTTCCTAAAAGACCATGGCCAGTTTTCTACAGAAGCTATTTTTGACAACCTCAAGTGGCATTACATTTTGCAGTGAAGCATAGGAACCTTGGGGGACTTCACGAGTTCGATTCTTGAGGGTCTTCTGGTGGAAGCAGAACGGGCAAAACAACAAAAGTCTTAAGTTTCCTCAGTTTCTCTGCAACTGGGATCAGTTGCGCAGCACCGGTTCTTAGGACGTGTCAAGAACTTCATGTTGATAATGAACTTGAGCAGAAATGTGAGGTGGTAACACGGCAGTAATTTTTTTTAAGCAGTAGAAGTGACTTGTTTCCTACACTAATTTTTATGACTGGAAAACATGTCAGCTACAACTGCTTTGACAACTATGCTCTGTATTATACGAATCTTGAA